GGAGGGGGAGAGAGAGGGAGGGAGAGGTAGGTAGGTTAATTTTAGAAGTTAAAAAGATATCAATGTGCTAATACAACATAAGGTGCTTTTAAAAGGGCCGAGTCCTACACAAGCTGTAATAAATATATATGGACATGTACTTTGAAACTTTAACAATTAAAAATAAAAACACAAAACAATGTTTTTTTAACATTAAAAGAAGTTGTGCAATATTTACACCTACTGTACATCCTAATTTCACCACATGCATCTGTACATATTAAAATTACATTATTATTAATTAAATTACACCGAAATAATTATAATTAACTGACACAATGCTATCACTAAATGCCAAAGCCATACTGGGCCATTGTCTCTCAAAAAGTACCACGTGTGCTAAACCACACCTATTTTAGTTATTAGTGGGCGTGGCTCAATTCGTTTTAGCTGAAGGTGTGGCTCATGTTATTTATGTATCTATGATTGAAGTCTTCTACTGCATCCTACTGCTTGCTACTGCATCCTACTGCATACACTACATGTGTTTAGTATAATATAAAGTATCAATTTGTAGATAAAATGTATGTAATTGCTAGTATCACTTCTACTGGTGCAATGCGATATTAATCATCATTGCCTTGAAGAGAGATCGTGAGAGAGGTTAGTGACTGATGATAATGTACTTGTCTGTCACCATAGGGGTAGGAACAGGGGGGCAGGATATCAGCTACTGAATGATGAATACCTTCCAGTGCTTGATCCTTGTTGCTGCTATTGGATTCATCATTACTACTACTACTACAGTATCTGCAGAAAAAGACATTTGCTGCAGTGATGCGAAATGCCAGAACAATGTAACTACAGTAAGTTCAGTGATACATCATACTACAACATCATGATGATAATTATGTGCAGTGGGCTATTGGATAAAATGTTCATTGAAGTTAAAGAACAGCCTAACAGCAGTATGTACAATACATTGGAGATGCTTTTGTAGTTTTTTTATAATGTCCCAAGCAAACTAAACCTATAATGCACTAACCATACACAGTGATAATTATTGGTATGTATCTTTTTACAGTCTAATAACTGCTGTAGCATCACTGGAATCAAAACTTATAAGGTATTAGCAAGCATAGGGGACATCTGCTATAAGTGCTGAGTGAAAGAAGATCTGAGAAGGAAAGACTCTGAACTTTCAATAAATAAATAAATATTTACTAACAATAAATAAATAAATAATTACATAATTTAATCTTAATTATTTCAAATCTGATAATAAAAGTTACATAAAACCAAATTGTTGTTAATTTTTGATGAACACAGCCACTGTAGCTACTGGCCATAAATCATAATGATTGAGTGTACTACACTGTACATAGCCAGACACAAATCATGAATATACTCTAGCTATAAGATGCATCTCCATATACTTATCATTATTGATACTGCATGACTACTGATGACAATGGTCCATTGTTTGAATATGTACATGTGATAGAAACATGTACATGTCAATCTTATCGTACTGCAACATGTCTTGCCAACTTTAGGCTAATTAATATTGGTGCCAGCAGAAGTGAATAGACTCTATAGAAGTGATGATAGTAATTACTACACTTCAACTAGGCAGGTCCGGTAGGATATGACAGGAAGTGAATATGTACATTAATGTGTATATGTGAAGCTACCTTTCCATGGTTGCTTCACGGTTTCTGTAGATCTTAAGGCGGGTTCTCAGTATGACGCATTATTTTTCATGCGCTAGCATCATGACCGGAAGTGCTGTATAAACCAATGGGAGTATGCATCAATGCGTCAGAATAGAAATGTTTTCTAATCTGACGCATTGACGCATGCTCCCATTGGTTTATACAGCACTTCCGGTCGTGACAGACGCGCATGCATTATATTGAGAACCCGTCTTTAGGGTCATAGCTTACATAAACACTGCATAATGGGGCATCAAAACTGAAATCAGCAAGTACATATATACTGTTATGTTTTAGTAATTTGTGTAGCTTAAGCCTACTATTATTTATGTCTACTAATTTTAGCGAAATCAGCAAAAGTCATGTTTAGCGTTACTAATAATTTTAGCGTTTTTAACCAAATTAACTATAAACAATAACCATTATAATGAATAATAATTATTTTGGCGTCTATTTAATTTAGTGATTTAAAGCTCTCTCGCTAATATAGCTAAATTTAATAGACACTAAAAATAGTAGGCTTAAGGTAATTAATTATTATTGTTTTGGTTTAGTAACTATTATAGTTATTGTAATGACTGATATAAACATTAACTCTCAGTGATTATTACATTTGTGAGTGCACGTGCTCATGCAGTGTGAAAGATTTGAAACACATGTTATTGTT